CTGATGATCTACTTGATACCTCTATCCCTTGATCAGTTTTCCTTAGTAGTAGTGCCATCATTGCTAGAGCAACCAGATATCAGTGATGCCAGGTTAGTCAAAATACAATATTTGGCATTTGTTTTTTCCTGTGGATAAAAGTGGAATTGTTGCTAGACCTCAGAAAAGACTAAACAGGGCCTCCCCGGTGGCGCAGCGGTTGAGCGCCAGGTTGCGAACCTGCCCGCAGCCTCTGCAGCACCGGTTCGATCCCCGGCTGCTCCCTGGCCACCGGAGGAGGGTCCCACATGGCGCGCAGACCTCTCCTGCCGTCCGCTGCTCCCCTCAGCAGTGTACTTCGGTCCTTCTGCCTGCTCTGCTCCCTGCTCTGGCTCTGGTGAATTCTCTCACCCTCCCGCGCTTCTGACTGTACCCAGTGCTTGTATAAATAATAAATAAATAAATCTTTAAAAAAAAAAAAAAAAAGAAAAAGAAAAGACTAAACAGGGCCTTCCCGGTGGCGCAGCGGTTGAGCACTGGGTTGCAAGGCTGCCCGCAGCCTTTGCAGCGCTGGTTTGATCCCCGGCTGCTCCCTGGCCACCAGAGGAGGGTCCCGGCAGACCTCTCCTGCCGCCCGCTGCTCCCCTCAGCAGTGTGCTTCGGTCCTTCTGCCTGCTCTGCTCCCCGCTCTGGCTCTGGTGAGTTCTCTCACCCTCCCGCACTTCTGACTGTGCCCGGTGCTTGTATAAACAAACAAATAAATAAATCATTTAAAAAAAAAGAAAGAAAGAAAAGAAAAAACTAAACATTATCTGTATTGCCAAACCTGCCTTTTAGGCTGGAATGGGAGACATTAACCACCAGAACCAGTTACACCAGGTCTTGGCACTCCGTTGGAACCTGAAATATGGATGGCCCTCCCTTTTCAAATATATCTCCATCCCACTGTTAGAAAAGACACTTTCCTGGGGCTTCCTTGGTGGCTTAGGGGTCAAGTCTCAGCACTATTACTCTAGCACTGATGCGACCTGAGTTCAATCCCTACCAGGGAGATGACCCACATGGTGCAGCAGACCTCTCCAGTCTCACCCACTGCTCCCCTCAGCAGTGTATTTCAGTAGATCTGCCTGTCCTGCGGCCCACTCTGTCTCTGGTGAATCCTCTCAGCCCCCGCACTTGTGGCCTACATCCCAGTTCGTCAATAAATAAATAAATAAATCTTTTAAAGAAAAAAGAAAGAAAAGACACTTTCTGGTTGGCCTCCTGCCATAGGACACCCTGGACAAGCTGTTCTTGGAATCTCCGCCAGACTTTTCCTCTACAACTGGTGTTGCATTGCCTCTGTTCTGCGACCCACTTGTGACACCTGTAATCCTACGTGTGGGAAGTCCAGATGATAAAATGGTTTCGAAATAGAACTGGCTCCCTCTCCCTTCCTTGAAGTGGTGGTAGTTAATTTAGGGGGGAGGAAAATAGAGCTTGCTGCTCAAGCTGCCTTTCTGCACCAATTAAATATCAACAGCTCCAATACGCCATGCTCTGGGTGAAAGGGAATTAGGCAGCATTTTTCTTTCCAAAAGACATGCAACCTCAGTCAGTAAATAGAATTGGCAATAATCTCATCATTGTAGACTAGTTAACTCCTACACTGAATGCCTAAGGGCTAAGACACTCAAGTAGAAATCTGAAAATGCCCATGCCTTTATTCTGCTCTCTGCCATAGGACCTGTTTTACTTATGTGTAAAATGGTACTATGCAACAGCCAAAGTCATGAACACCCTTCTCCAAGCATTCCAGACACGTCACAAGGCTAGTACTTGCTATATAAAAGCCCATGTGAAGTGTGTGAGGCTTTGGTCTGTAAATCAGTTAAAATTAGCGGGGAGGGGAAAATGTTTCATAGAAAATAAATGTCTTGGGGGTTTTCTTTTCTCTGCATTTTTTTTGCTGCACAGAGCCCTTTGGGTATTGTATTGATTCTAAACCTTATGGAATCTAAACCTTTCTTGTTTTCCTTGGAATTGTCCTGAATGAATGACTGTTGATGGGAAGTACTATGTCAGAGCAGTTTGTTTCATGCTTCTTTACTTTCTGCCTTTGGTGAGTGTGACACACTGACCAGGCCCCACAAAATGGAATTTGAGAGCCCTTTGCTACTCCAGATCACACTTGGTTGGGTGGGCTAGTGCCCATACTGCTGAAGTGATTACATCCTTAGCTTACTGTCTGGAGGCATGGTTGACTTGGGGACTGGCAGACTATGGCATTTTAAACACCGCTCCTCTACTAACTAGCTTGGTGCCCTTGATCAGATTACCTCACTTCAGTGAACTTAGAGAACATATTTATCAGAATGGATCTTTGTGAGAATTCAAGAGAAGGTGTTAAGGTGCTACAGTGGCCCCAGGTTGAGTTGGTTATCATTATGGGCCTGCCCATCCCCCAAATTCATCTTCTAAGGATTGTTTGTTCAGTGATACCACAGGTCATCTAGAAACATGCTTCTGGTCTTTTAAGGCCTTATATGGAATAAAAGAGAGAAAAGCAAGAACAGTTCCACTGCTTTCCACTGTAAAAATTATAGACACTTTAATCTCATGTTTCTGGTCTTGGCAGCCCAGATCTCTTGCCTGAGTGAGCAAATGGGCATTTTTTTTTTTGGAATACTGTTTTTCAGCTTCCGGGGCTGAGTACTTTGTGTCAATTCCTAGAACCATAAATCTGGAAAGGTTTAGGGAGGAGCTCGAGATTGTGGGAGGGAAAAGGCACCATACTCCAGGTCACAAGATGAGTTGGTACAAAGCTGGAGCAGATCCCAGATCTCCTCTAAGGTCTTTGTGACCTGTACCCCACTTCAGCCCACTGTGATGTATCTCCAGTGAGCCCAGCCTCTCCCAGGACCCGGGAGGCTGTGACCAGGCATGTCCCTAGCCTACGCAACTGCTGCTTTAGAAGGGCCCGTATTCCTGTGACTTACAGGAGCTGATGCTCCAGGTGTCATGAGAAATTCCTGTTTCAATTGTTAATTCAACAAATACTTATTGGGTACCTGCTAAGAACCAGGTGTCATGCTGAGTGCTGGGGAGATGGCAGCAGCAGCAACATCAGTTCACACTGAGGAGGGATTCTTATCACTTGCACCCCTACAACCAAACATTTTTCAAAGAAATGCCTTCTTTTTCAAAGGCCATCACATTCTGACTCTGCCTACATCCCATCAAACTAATGGAAAATGTCAGTCATTCTTGTGCCCTGTCATCCCAAGTTGTGCCTAGATTCGGGATACTTTTATTTATTTGTTTGTTTATTTGTTTATTAAAGATTTATTTATTTATTTATACAAGCGCTGGGTACAGTCAGAAGCGCGGGAGGGTGAGAGAATTCACCAGAGCCAGAGCGGGGAGCAGAACAGGCAGAAGGACCGAAGTACACTGCTGAGGGGAGCAGCGGGCGGCAGGAGAGGTCTGCGCGCCATGTGGGACCCTCCTCCGGTGGCCGGGGAGCAGCTGGGGATCGAACCAGCGCTGCAGAGGCTGCAGGCAGCGTTGCAACCCAGCACTCAACCACTGCGCCACCGGAGAGGCCCTATTTATTTATTTATTTATTTATTTATTTATTTATTTATTTATCTTATAACATTGTGTATGATTAGCGGTATAGGCTCACAACCTTCAGATATATGTTGCCACACCTTTCTTTACATAGCTGTCAAGCATCGGGAGACTTTCTGTGGTCATTTCTCATAGTTATATCTGAGGGCATCCTTCTCCATGCCTACTTGGTCCCTTTGGTGCAAATTCCCTGCTGCTCCTGGGCCAGTTTGGGCGTGTAGGCCGAGTGAGGCAGGTTACCAGTTACTTTACCCTCCGAGGTCTTGCCATAGACTGGGTCTTCCTACAAGTATGCTCTAAGAGGAGAGAGTCATCCTCCAGCAACTTAATGAAGATGCTTGTGATGTTAACACGTCTTGGCATCTCATTATTAACATAAGGGAAAAGTAAGACTGAAGCATTTTCCACCCAACCAAGCGGCATAGAAAATGTCTTCAAGAATTTAGAGTAAACCTTATCCTATGGTTAAGGAGAGGCAGTATGTGGAACATGAAGATCAGACATGGGCTTTAATCCTGGCTCTGCCTTGTATTACCTGTGTGACTCTGAACACGTTTCTTCCTCTCTGTAGTCAAATGGGCACCAGTCAAATGGGCATGATAATACTCACCTAGTTTTTAGAGAGAGGATTAAAGACTGGATGCAAAGCTCCTAGTACGGTGCCTGGTACCCAGGTGCATTGGAGATAGGCACTGTTTGTGCTTCAGTGTTTTGCTGTGGATGTGTCACTAACCAGCAGTATCTGAAGGTATATATGTACCTTTAGCAGGGAGACTGAGACACATTGTCAAGAATGAAGATGCCTTGGTATCCTGGGCATGGGTACCTACCATGGGTGAAGGAAAGTTGGCACTGATTGATGGCGAAGTTGAAAGATGAGGAGTCTCTTCCTCTAGCCTCCCCTCTGTTTAGATGGTGTGATTGAGAATTAGCAACTTGAGGGCCTCCCTGGTGGCGCAAGGGTTTAAGATGCAATCTATGAAGCTGTCTGCAGCCTCTGCAGCACGAGTTCCATCCCTGGCCGGCCAGGGAGCAACCCACATGGCACAGCAGACCTCTCCTGACTCGCCTGCTGCTCCTCTCAGCAGTGTACTTCTGTCAGTCTGCCTGTTCTGCCCCCCACTCTGTCTCTGGTGAATCCTCTCACCCCCAGCACCTCTGAGGCCTGTACCCCAGCTCTTATATGCATAAATAAATAAATCTTTAAAAAAAAAAAAGAGAGAATTAGAGACTTGAAATGTGCTGATATTTGGCCTCCTGATGTTTTGCGAGGCAAAAACAGCCCTCACCCTTGCCTGTGCCTTAGGGCTTCTTGCTGACTCCCTGGGAAACAGATTTTCTCACTTGGTTTGCTTGTCACGTTATACGTGCTGCACCTTCCATCACTGACTCTCTTCACTCTCTTCCAGGGGCTCCGTGGGCCTTACCCCTTCGGCCAGTCTTAAAACGGTGTGAGCAAGAAGAAAAATTAACAAAAGACAGAAGGCCTGACTTTGGGGGGGTAGGGCAAGGGGTTCCTCTGGATTGCAGACCACATCGCACGGACCCGCGGCTCTGACCCCCCCATCTCAAAAGAAGAGGAAGAAGGAGAACAGACTAATTTTGAGTAAATGCAGTATGCATGTGTGAATGCTGAATCGCAGGAATGGCATTGAGGCTACCAAGAAGAAATCCGTGCAGCCACCTTGGGTTTTGTTTATTAGGTGTCAGTCTGATGAGTCATTAGGTCACTCGGGAAGGGAAACAACATTTAAAGTGGGGGAAAAAAAGCCATCTTTTTAAACAAAAATTACTTTGCCTATAGACAGGTTGTAGTGTTGAGCACATGTTAATTTTTTTCCCTGTTTGCCCACTTTTGTTTTTTTAGATAAGGGATAACATACTCTTCATAGACTAGCTGCTTGCTCTGGAAGCAATTCAAGTTAAAAGCTGGCGTGGCATGTTTGGGACTCTGGGTCAGTGCTGCAGGAGGACAGTTGTTGTGCCACATGACTCCAGAAGTCTCTGACCCCATTTGTTTTTAATGGCATCAGCCAATGAGTTATCACCCTTTTCCTCTTCTTTTCTCTTTAATCTTCTGTTGATTTACACCTTTGACATTTGTATTCATCAACCCTGTGGCTTGTTACCATTAGAACCTCTCTGAAGACCAAACTTTCCTGTGTGGCCAGCAGAGGAAGCCTTGAGGACAGACCTCGGATGACATGGGAGTTTCTGAGGCTGAGAGGTGTTCTTCTGCACGCACTTGTAACAATTCAGATTGCTTTTCTTCCATGTTTCCCTTGGCAGAGAGAAATGCCATCATGCTTACTGCTTTTTTGGATTCTTCGTGCACTGTGGCTCCCCACTCGCTCTGGGAACAGTGCCTCTGTGCTGGGTGTTTGTGTGCACCACGTGCACACATGTGGGATTGGTGCAGCTCACCAGCAGTGGGTGAGTGTGAGGGCGCTCCACGCTTCTCTGTGGTCACACAACTCCCTTCCCCATGTTTCCCTCCAGTTTTCCTTCGTGGTGTTCTCACAGCCTGTTAGTAGAGGCTGAGCTGTTAAGGTATGAGATACAGCCCCACATGGGGAATTTGCCACCGGGGGATAGACTATGTGATCTCGGAGACCACATTTAGTTGGAAATGAGAGGACCCTGCCCTGAGCAGGATGTCAGTTATTGCAGGTGGTGGGTGAGGAGCAGCCAGGCCGGAGCAGAGGCTGATTGGCTGGCTGCCCACCTGGCAGGTAGCCCTACTGGCGTGCTGTGGATTCTGAGCAGGTCGAGATGTGGACCTCTCCTTGGGAAGCTTGAACCAGGCTAGAACAGCTGTCTGCCAAAGATACAAGAATATGCAAAGTCCCTCTTCTTTTCTCGCCCCCCTTCTTCCCTCGAGTCTTGGTTGGTTTGATAGCCGGGGATATGGATCTAAGGTGCAGTTGCAGGGTCGCCTGCCTGTAACCACGCCACCCACCTAGGGGGGTGAGACAAGCAAGCAGGGAGACCACGTGATGAGCGGCTGCAAGGGGTCATATAGCCTGGGTGTGGGTGTGGGTCTGCCTGCCTGTCTGTCTCTGTTTGGGTGTCTGAGTTCCAGAATTGTGTGTTGTTTGTTCCTCCTCATCCTCTTCTGAGACTGTTGTTTTTTAAAGTTTGATTGTGGGAGAAAAGCTTGTATGAAATTCCCCCTTTGCCTCCCTGCCTGCCCCCGAAAAAAATAAAAATAAAAAGAGGAATAAATATCGGTCCACTGAAGAAGCCTTGGGAGGGTAGAGCCAGCCTGCTGAGGAGGCGTTGTAGCTGGGACTGGGGCCAGACTAGGGCGTGCCCTGGAGCACCCACTTTCTGTACACATAGTTTATGCCCCCATTTCCAAGCAGAGCAGAGAGTCCCTGCTAGGTGCCCCAGCCACCACCGGCCCAAGCCAGGAGCTCACAGTGGCTTTTTGTGTGAAGGCTCTATTTGCCCAGACTGCTGCTCTCTGTTGGTGCCAACCTCCTGGGACACTGCCACCTTGGAGCCCAACGTGCCCAGCCATTCTCTTCACAGAGCAGCACATCTCAAGCTGCCCTGGCAGGCTCGTGGGAGGCTTTACATCCCTGGTTTTCTGACTTCCTCATCGGCCCAACACTAGTGCCCCTGCCCTGCTCCCAGGAAGGGCTGCCTGCCTTCTTCAGCAGGCATGCCATAGGTCTCCGGCAGCGGAGACTCTGGCCCTGCTGGAGGCACCCTGCTCCTCTTGCTTGTCGGCAGCCTCACCCCGCAAGGTAACTGTCCCAAGCATGTTGACTCTCCTTCTAAGAACAAACCATTTCTGGACGCATCCTTGGGAAAGTGAGCTGCTCGCAGAGGGCAGAGCAAGCGTCAGCCATCGAGTAGGGACAGGGAGCCCGTGGCTTCCGCATGACCAGGAGGGTGTCAGCACCATTCATCTTGCCTCCTCCCACTGGTTTGGGTTCTGAGCAACACCTCAAGCCCCTCTCCTCCCCTGCCTACTGGAGTGGTCCAGGCTACCTCTCAGCTCAGCCCAGGAGTCCTTGTTCCCTCTGACTCGTCACCAAACGGCGGGCTGCCTCTGGGCAGGACCACCTGTGTCTGGCATCTATGAAGTCAGGCGGCGCTCTCATGAGGGGCCTGAGCCCAGTGGGGGAGGCAGAGGGGCTCAGAGTCGGGAAGAACTGTGTGCATGGAGTGAGGTGTGTGTGGATGTGTGTGCACGCGTGCATGCCTTTTTTTCCTTTTGCCATGGGGATGGTTGAATTCGGGGCATTTTTCTACAAGAAACAACCTTCTCTCCCCCAGTAAGAACTGGCCGTGACCTTAAGCCCATCGAAGGCACTTCCAGCCTGTAGAGAACCTCACCAAGACAGCTTGAGGGTGGCCAGGGTGAAAGAGGGCATGAGAATAAACACCTCCCCAAATTCAATGTGAGCCCCAGCAGGAGAGGATGGTGGGGTTGCCAGGGTTCAGACATGCAAGCTGATTCCCTACCCTCCCCACCCTGCCTCGCCTTTCCTTCGTTTCCTTGGGTGAATGTTGGGGCCGCAGTGGCTGCCCCTCCACCTGGACAGTTGGTGTGTCACAAGCAAGCTGGGTGGGTGTTGCAGTGGGGCCTCATGGTGCCTGGGAGGAGATGAAGATGAGGAGGTTTTTCCTTACTGTATAAATGAATATTTGTATGATTAAATTAACACACACAAAACCCCGTCTTCATGTGTGTCGGTGTTTTATTTCGCCTTCAAGACTCCTCCCCCCATACCAGCTTGGCCACACGGGGGGGGGTGGGGTGGGGGGGGCTCTATGATGTGCGTCTTTCGGTGTCTGTTTCTTTTCCTTTGGTAAATGGGACAACTTGAGACCCTGAGGTTCATTGTATGTCTGGAGAATCTGTCATGGGCTTGTAATTAGATCTGCCGCCTTTTCTGGCTCTCAATGACCAGAAAGGTGAGGAAACCCCTTCCAGTGAACTTTGCTTCTCAGGGTGCCAGATCCCTGCCCCCAGCAAGTAAGAAGAGCCCACCAGGTCAGTGCGATCAGCCAGCAAGCATCGTTTGGACCCTCGCTGTGTGTCAGGCACATAGCACAGGTAAGGACTGGACAGAAAGTGCGGAGAATCAAGCACATCTTTCTATGGGGAGAGCAGACAAGACCGAGTTGGGGAGTCAGCCTTCTCAGTCCTGCCGGGACCTCTGGTACCCTCGATTTAGAACAGAGCGTGTATTTTCCTTTCCGTGTTTCCCGCTGTGGTTGGGTGTAGTTCCTGGGTGCACTCAGCACTCCTGGTCTATTACGGATTTAGGCAAGTTTTTACATACAGGGTTGGAGCTTGAGAGTCAGGTAGGGACCACGCTCTAGGCATCTGGCACGTGAACTTGGAACCTACCCCACATACGTGAGGCAGGCCTATGGCCAGGGCCGGGGGAGGCACGGTGGTCACTCGGCATGAAGGAAATTTAATTGGCGAGTACAGTGGCAAGTGGCGGCTTCATTGGATCCTTCATGTCTGTAGTACACTTCAGCTCAGCACTTGTTTGTCCTCAGTCACATCATCACCCCTCTATGTTGAAGGGAAAGTGAAATCAAGAGAGGAAAGGCAGTGGCGAGTCCTGCAGCTTAAGGGATGAGCAGCCTTGTACCCACAACCTGGGCTCCCAGGAGCTGGCATCATTTCCACTTAATTGCAGACCCTGCATGTAAGCTGGGCCATCTAGGGTACTGGAGTGGCGGCTTGGGGAGGGAACCTGCAGCCACAGGTTACATGAGAGAAATGGAAGTACCTGGAAAGAAAGGATCCCTGCCCCCACGGCCATAAATGCAAGACTCCTATTTCCCTGACTAGCCTGATACAGAGCCCAGGGTGAGAGAGCCTGGGAGGCAGGCTCAGAGACCCCTAGGATAAGTGCCCAGCTCCCTCCCCCAGTACTGTGACCCTGCATCCTGCTTTCTTTCAAACACCCCAGGCTCTTTGTTCTCTGCAGGAGAGGGGCCTCCACCCTGTACCTGGGTCTTCTGGCAACTCAGACCCACTCCCAGGCCTTCCCCAACACCTTCACTACTGGACAGTTATTTGCTTGGCAGAATCTGTTTGTCTTTGGGGCTGTAACCTGTCAAGTAGTCACCAGGTCCCTGGGAGAAGGGAGCAGGCTTGATGGCAGCTCCTGGCCTAAGCCATTCCCACGGGGGCTAGGTGACAGGGAGGGGGCTCTTAGCTTTTGTCTGGAGGGTGGAGGGTAGTGGAGGGAGTTGAAGTGGTCTGGGCCCATCCCACCTGGCAGAGCAAACAGGTCCTCTAAGCCACCTCCCTACCCCAGCTCAGGGCGTACCTGGGTGCCTCTTACCTTGTTCTCAAGAAGGCCCCTCCTTTCCCGGCTTGTGACCCAGCCACTTTCCCAGACACCACCTGGTGTCCAGCTCTGGTGACCAAGAGAACAGGTACCAAGGCATGCACAGCAGCCGTGGATTTCAAAAGTGGGAGTGGAACAGACAAGACTTTGGCGAGGGCAGAATGTGTGTGAATTTGGGGGCCAGTGTGTCCAGAGAATGGATTCTGACAGGCCAGTGTGACTGACTAATGAGTCTCAGATGCCTCATCTCTAAAATGGAGATGTGCTGGGCTTGGACCGTGGGGATTTCTCAATCCTTTCAGCCCATAGTCCTGAGATTTTGTAAAGTGGAGCAGGGCTGCTCAAACCTGAGGATGTTAAAATGTAAAATGTAAGATTCTTTTTCTTTTACAATTGCCAAATCATGGAACCACCCCAAGCACCCTTCAACAGATGAATGGATGGAGGGACTGGAGCAGATATTTGGTGGTATATTACACAGCTGTGAAGAAAGATGAAACAGTGGCAAGTGGGTGGACCTTGTGATTATGCTGAGGGAAATCAGCAAAAAAGTGGAAAACAGATTTCAGATGGTTTCACTCAATCTGTGGAACAAAAATACCCAAAAAACAATTATAATTATGCAAACAGAAAAAATTCAAACTTGACAAAAAGAAGGAACTAGTTACCAGGCGGAACAGAGGAGAGGGTGAGGACTGGGGGAGAAAAGCAGATGGGGTATGAGCATGGGTGGTTTGGTGGAGGGAATTAAAAAAGGCAATAGAAGGAAAAATTCCGTTTCTTAAAAGCTCCTTGGTGAGCAGAACTTTCTGCTTCTCAGAATGCAGTTAGCATAAATGTAGTAGGGGATGGCCTGAAGGGTTGAACCCCTCCCTATCCAGCTGGCTGTGAGACTGAGCCAGATTTAGTCAGGGCTGTATTTGCCAGGTCCACTAGAATTTGAAGGAGCTGAAGTAATCTAGAATAGTCATATTCAAAATGTGAGATAAGGGGCCTTCCTGGTGGCGCAGGGATTAAAGACGGTGCTATCAAAGCTATCGCCAGCCACTGCAGCACAAGTTCAATCCCAGGCCAGGGAATTAACCCACATGGTACAGCAGACCTCTCCTGTCTCACCCGCTGCTCCCCTCAGCAGTGTATTTCACTCATTTTGCCTGCTTTGCTCCCCACTGTGTCTCTGGTGGATTCTCTCACCCCCTGCACCTCTGGCCTGTACCCCAGTTCTTATAGGCATAAATAAATCTTTTTTTCAAAATGTGCGATAAACCCACGGCCAGGGTTTAGCCAGGCTGTGATTTCTGGCTGCAATATCGTTTGTCAGGAACAACAAATACCTCAGTGTTTACTGTAATTATGGTAATAGTGCTGGTGGTTATTGACCAACTGCCACTAAGCTCTAAGATGCAGTCAAGAGTCAGTCGGCCTGGTGCTGTTTTGTGAGCTAGTAACTTCTGAGTGTCATGGCGCCTGTGGAAGTGCCGGAGGGGCATGGAGTAAGCTTGGAGTGGCCTACCTGGGAGACTTCTCTAAGAGGGTGACACTGAAGCTGAGCATTGAAGAATGGAGAAAAGGTCACAAGGAAAGGATCTGTGTGAAGAGAGTAGGTGAGCTTGAGACACTGTGAAGAGATCAGCACTTCTCTGAGGAACATTGCTTCCAGACGATCCTGTTTCTGTCTGTATCTGAAGGGGGAAGAGGCATGAGAACAGGGCCTCCCCAGTGACTGTCCAGGCCAGTCTGGGAAAGCTCTGCTGCCCTGTCCCTTTGCAATGCGTTTAC